TTTGTAAAATCTATCGCCAAGGTTTTCAATATCATGGGATACATGGAAGCCCCAAACTTCACTCCCATAAGTCACTATAGGCATAACTTTCACATCAGGCATAACTTTCATATATAAAATGTGGAGTTGAATATGAAGAGGCAGCTTGTGAAAGTCAGTATTAGATTTGATACATTGCAGGGCTTTATTAGCTTGGTATTTAGCAAGAGTCTTTTTTGGTCTTATACCATGATCCAGACCATGATAAGTGAACACCAAGGTATTTGTAAGGAGATACCATTTCAAGGGTTTTCCTTTAGAAATAGAAATTTGCATATTTTCGTTTGTCTAGCCGTTTTTGGAGACCTTTTACTGTGCTATCAAGAATAGAAATATTGTCTGCGAATAGCAAGATAAACACTTGCACCAGGCCAATAGATATTGACCACTGATTATCTTCCCCTAAGAATTGTACCATGTCGTTTATGAAAATAGAAAACAGGAATGGTGAAAGCTGGCTGTCACTGTCAGGTGCATTCCCAGTCCCAGGGCCACGCACATGGTCGCGTCCAAGTCTACGCCCAATGCCACGCCCACCTCCCCGGCTGTCTCCAATACCTGACGTGTCCCGTCTTGGCGGGAAAGTTTTGATTAGCTTCAGAGTACCATTCGGTTCATCGAGTCTAAACACTGTAGCCAGGTGCTTTGCCACAATGCATTTCACTTACTGCCTTACATATCTCCATATAGGAAATATCTCGATCTAAGAACTGTTTATCCACAGTGCTGTCAATCAGATTATCAGATATGGAATCAACAAAATGACATATAGAATCATAAAAATCAGCTTCATGTTCCGCAAAGTTGGTACCCTGGGACAAATCATAGAAATGCTGTGTCCATTCCTGAGGTAAGATGTTATTGCTGACAGCTTCCCGTCTCTTAACAGGACCAGAACAATTTACCATCCTTACAGTATAATGCGTTTAGTAGTTTATCAATAAGGAAGTTAAGTAAATTACTGGATTTCACTTTACATAAATTCTTGTTATGATTGATAGAGAGCTTATAGTTGAGTCTGTTCATTTCACAACTGCGTCCCTGCAGTGCCCTGAGAGATCTCCGCGCAACGGCACGTGCATTCAGACATTCATTGTCAAACCAGTTGTCTCCCTTGGTTCGCCTACCCCGGCTTACAGACTTTTTACATATATGTCAGCACAAATACTCCTTGTATTCGTCACGGGCACTGTCGCTTCAGACGTATCTAGGTCGGGCCGGTGCTGTTCCACCTGGGTCACTGTGACCGCATGTCAATTTCAACGAGTAGGTCAGCGGCATATGGGTGCTGTCAATTTCGCATAAAACTGAGAAGTCAATGATTTGATGAAGTGATTTTTCTAAGCACATGACATAGTCAATAACACTGCTTCCATCCTTAGCGTAACATGTACACATACCTAGATTGTTGACCTTACCCACACGCCCGTTGCAGATACGGAGGCCTGATTGTTTACAAAGGTCTAACATAGCATACCCTCGCTTGTTGATACACTTGTCCTGAGATGTGCGCGGTGTAGGTGAATCCTCTAGGTAGCCCATGTCCTGGTAGACTGTCAGGTAGTTGGTGTCGTCGTCCATGATGTAGTCGGATGCAATACTGCCGTCCCCAGCCCGCGCATTGAAGTCGCCTTGCACTATTACCTCACAGTCCGGAGAGTGAGATACACATGTATGTCCTGTTCTAAGGCATCAAAGATAGGTTCACTGGAATGATGACTACTGCCTTCTGGCGAGTAATAAACAGCACCGAAAAAGATGACCGGCTCATATATGGCATTGCGATTTTAATCCACAGTATCGTGCCTGATTAGATATGAGTTGATGCGTAAGTGTTTCTTGAGACCTTCTATATTCGATACAAGGAACGTAGATTGATGATTGTTGTGATGATCACGTGGGCCTTGGCCATATCCCTACCTGTCACTGTCAGGTGCATTCTCAGTCCCAGGGCCACGCCCACTTTCCCGGACATCTCCAATACCTGACATGCCTTGTCTTTGCGGGAGAGTTTTGATTAGCTTCAGAGTACCATTCGGTTCATCGAGTTTAAACAGTCTGTTCCCTATTATCAGTTTGTCATGTCTAAGCACTGAGTAATGACCATCTTGCCTTTCCTTATCCATGAAGCAGTTTTGATGAGGCTTTTAGAACAGCAAGTTTCGATAAGTAGTTCGAGAACGTCACAAGAATTGGTCTCGGTCCTTTGGATTTGGATGCGATGCGTTTAACACTATCAATATCAGCATTAGATATATCCATTGTCTCATTAAGAAATCTCTCACCTTGCCCACTGTATTCTCTGTACTTTCTTCATCCATATTGTAAAAAACAGGTTGTTTTTCTTCAGTTGACCTTCTAGGCTATTTATTTTTCGTTCGCAGTTGTCTACGGTTTTCTTCAATGTTGTAGTTTTGTCTGTTAGTGTGTTGATATCTTGTTCTATCTTGTTAATTCATGTTGTGAGCTTGTCCAAGTTACGGTTCATTTCAATTCGCATTTCCTTTATCTCTTTCAGTCTGTCAGCTGGAGTTAATTTACCGTCAATAGTTGTCTGTCTTGACCTAGGCTCGGGATTTGTCTCAACATCATTGCTTATGATTAATAAAAGCAGAGACAGAAATAGCGTGAGGCGACAGAGCACGTGTGTTCTACCCGGCACGTGCATCACTCTGACACGCATGGCTACTCGCCGTTGGGCTCTCCGAAATACGAAGGCAATAAAAATCCCATGAAAACATCCAATTTGTAATCTGTGGAGATTATTATCACATCCCATGTTGATTGCCGTCATTTCAACTCACCGTTTAGTCTCTATTCCTCTACATCTCAATTCGCCTACATCCCATTTCGCATACAAAAATAATGTAGGCTAATTGAGATTAGAAATTGCCCCCCTACTCTTATAATGAACCTGACTCACTGGTCAGTGCCATACTACATCTTGATCGACTGTTGTTATAAGGATATGTGGTCGATTCCAACGAAAGGTTTACACAGCTAGGTATAAGTTGTCCAAAACAGAATTGCTTGCACCTTGTAATTCTTTTTACCAATGTAAAGTCAACATATTTGCCTCTTATGAAAATGCATAAACTAAATCATAGCTGGATTATTAACACATCGAACAGCTTGGAAATTGTTTATCTAAATGCATAGGACATGTGAATAAAGACTGTTTACAACCAGTTTAAGGCTTTCTCTTTGTTTTGTCTCAGTGTATGTCGGAAAGTAGCAATGTCGTCCCAAATGTTCAAAACGCTTGAACTATCTTGGTATTTTTATGTATTCGTAGGTAACATAATACATTTGTTCTGAAGATCACCCCTTTAGGTCCTCGAGTCATTCAGAGGTATATAAGCATGTTGTATACCTCTGATTTTCCAATACAGTATGTATTCTTTTTAAATCTTAATAACACGGCTATGGTAGAATGGAGATAAAATTATAACAGCTCTAAATTTTGTATTTAAAACCTTTAGCTATTTTAATTACGTTATAAACCTCTATTTTCCAACACAGTATGTTTATCTCCTAAATGGACATCTGCACAACTTCCTTAACACTAATGTCATATGATGTGAATATGATTGTGATCGGAAAATGACAAATGACAGAATAAATAAATAAGAGAAATATATTCTTTTTGTCCTTCAACTACTTCAACTAGAAGAGTCCACTTTTAGATCACAGGGGTGCCACTAGTGTACCATTGCGTAATCAACAGTCAACAGACCATGACATGTTGTTTTAAGACTGTAGGCGAATTGGGATGTAGGCGAAATGAGAACATGCCCTCACTTTAGGTGTTGATTGACGTTCCCCTTCGTTAGATAAACGGTGTTTCGGGTATATGCTTGCGGAGCCCTCAAACCATGCGACTTGCCTCTACGCCCGCTAGGTGGCGCTTAAGACTACAAATGATTACCAGGATAAGCAATGCATACTACAAAGATCTTATGAAGGCCTGGTGTAAATCCATAGATAACATTCACGCGGAGAGTATATCTGACAAAGGCATCCTAGCACAATACATAAATTATATTAGAACAAGAAAGGAGAGGATAGGAAAGCATATTTTATAAAGAATGGTTTGTAAATGGAATACGTTTCATTAACGATCTTCTAGATTTTATTAGGCAATTCATGACATTTGAAACCTTTACGACCGTTAGTAACTTGAAAATCAATTTTCTAACTTAAACAGGTGTTGTCCACGCTGTCTATCGAAGCCAACGATTACCAAAATTAAACACTGTCCTACAATCTACCATTTTACCATTTTATATATATATCAGTTGAACAAACAAAATCAAGGTACAGAGAGCAATAACCATTTCGTTAAATGGGAGTACGACCATCGACACGATGTTAAAGAACAAGATAGGAAGAGTATCAATTCTATCAAGTTTAGTTGCAAGAACGTGACTGAACTACAGAGGTTCCAGTATCAAACTTTGCATCATATCTTGCCCACGAACTTTCTTCTCAATAAGGTGGGATACGTACAAAATGCAGCTATTGTTCGAAAGAAATAGAAGATATTCTGTGAATGCAACAAAGTGAGCCCCATCTGACGAGACCAGGAAAGTTGGATATCGCACAATTCCAGCTACACAATTGCCGGTTACAGCTTTCCAAACAAGGTTTCTGCAGAGATACACACGCACGGCTCATAGACAATTCAAACGATATGCGATATAATTTAAGCCCATGTACATACCTGAGTCCTACCATGTGCTAAGCATCTCCCTGCAGTTTCAGGTTTGGTTTTCCCCAAAACGAATTACAAAACAGGCAAATGACGACAACAAACAGAGAGACGTCATAAGCTCACTTAGCACATCGACACTAACGACCACAAGTCTTATTACAATACGCACAGCTGTGACATTAAACTCGATAGATATAGACGAACGTGAAATAACATATGTACAGGCAGTTTGAGTATACTGCGCGTTGGCCGGCTAGAAATTAAGCAGACTGTTGAAAATAATGAGGAGACAATTCAAATGTCTCTCGTTTGTATCTTTTGTGAGCCTTCTGGTTTATGTTATACATTTTTCAAAGAATCACAACTTTGTCAGTCACGAGACAAGGGGCGACCAACAAGCACGTTTCAACCGTTTTGGAAAGGAAAGAAGTATTTCAGCGGAAGAACTGAGAAGAGAAACTGAGCAGTCATGCGTTTTTCCTGTTCATTCTCAAAGTCTTCTTCCATGTCAGCAGAACAACCTAAGTGAGTTGTCCTTTTGTTTCTTACTTAATTTCAGTTTCTTTTCAAAGGTGCAAACTTGGAATGATTATTCACCATTATACCAAGAGAATTGTGGTGAACCCTGTAAGAGCTGGCATAAGAGTCAGCTCATTTGTAACCCCGATGACTGTTTATTATAACCCGACCTCGGCGAGCCTTTGTAACAAGCTGTTATCGTCACATTTTACCCCCAAAATGAGCTGAATGAAATGATAGCGCCATACTCGTAAGCTCTGCCTAACCACTAGCGTTTGGTATCCTTGTGAAATAGGGTTCATGTAACAAAACGGTGGTATTAAAGATTTCAGAATTTTGTATGTCAGATCTTTTCAGACCCCATCCTAAGGAATTATATTTTTCATCATCCATTGAATCTTTGATTGAATATTTGAATTGTTCCTTTACCAGGACAAAAATCGTTTATTTATACTTGAATTAGCTGACTGTGCTATATCACCCATTTCAAACAGGATTCACGTATTCCATTTAATAGAAAGGATGGTACCTCGGAAACGCCTCATTTGTAACCCTGTTGATTGTTTATTATCGTAACCTCAGTGAGCATGTGTAACACGCTCTTATCGTCACATTTTACAAAGAAAATGAGCTGAATGAAATGACAGGGTTATTCTAGAAACCTCTGCCTCAGCACGAGCTTTTAGCGTCATTGTGAAGTAGGATTCATGTAACTAAACGATATTGTTTCAGATGTCAGAATTTTGTATGTCAGATCTTTTCAGACACCATCCTCATCTTTTTCAGCAAGCATTGAATCTTTGAAATGCTCCCTTACCAGGGTAACAATCGTTTATTCATCCACGATTTAGCTGATTGTGCTATATTATTCATGTCAATATGATTCCTTTATTCAATTTACCAGAAAGGATGGTATCACAGAAACGCGGGCGTTTCTTACAAAGGACAATGTGATATGTACAGAATGAGGGCTTTCTTCGGTATCTCCCTGTCACCAATAGGTGACGACATTTGTTTTGACGCATGTACAGAAGATTCAGATGGATGAGCTTTCAGGATGACCGCATTCCTCTTGATCAGGTTGATAGCGGATTTCACGGGTAGAACCGCGTTGTCAGTAACCCCAATTGTTTTGAAGTCAAAGTCATAAGGAATATACAGTACGTCGTGACTCACGTTTTAAAACTGTATTTTCGTTCAAACATTTAAATGTTTTATTTTTCTTCCTTTGTTAATCCAGGCATCTTTAACATCACATCACTGTAGAAATTAAAATGTATACTGGTGCAATAATCATTTCTGAAACATCCATCTTTTCAAATGAAGGAGAAACGTTGAATAAATGTGATCTTGCGCATTTCTATGTGGCAGTCTTCATGTATTTAGGTGACTGTATTTTGGGTTAAGATGTGATTCATGGCTACCTCTGATCAAAGGATTTTACAATACTTTCCATACTTCAGGACAGACGCGAAGAATAATATACGAATCACTTCCATGGCTTGATCTTGAGAGAACCTTGAATGCAGCCGTAACACTTTCCCCTGGAGGATACCACCAGCCCGTCGGATGTGCTTCCCCACAGCGACTTGCCATAATAATTCCATATAGAGACAGAGAGGTGAACCTGAAGATCCTCCTCAACAACTTGCACAGAGTGCTTCAGAAGCAACAGGCGGAGTATGCCATCTTTGTGGTGGAGCAGGTGAGTTGACTGCAAAACTAGCAGCTAACGACTTGTGCTCGCAAACACGCTGTCATAAAACACAAATATTGTTCGACTTCATAATGAATCCCAACTACTCACTTTTCCGTTTTAGGATACTTAGAACTGAAATGTGTGGTGGGGGAATAGGCCTTGATGATTCTGATGTTTTTGTTGTCAATGTGTGTTGTTATGAGGTACTCGACTGACAAGCAACGAAAAATACGTATGTTATATTTTCAGGAAAATGGTACTCCTTTTAACAGAGGAATGATTAAAAACATTGGTTACCTTGAAGCCAAGGCGCTGTGTCATTTTGACTGTTTCACCTTCCATGATGTCGACTTGGTGACTGAGAGTGAGAGGAATACCTACTTCTGTGGGGAGAAGGCTTTGCATCACTCTCAAAAACTTGACTTTCTGGATTACAGGTAGTCAACTCTTTGCCATCCTTTCTGCAAAGAATAAAGTGCCCAATTAAAATGAATCAGGAAATTTGTTTTAGAATCACTGCTCATCTTGTCACTTTAGAGAGGATCAGGGGGGTCGACCATTCGTTGTCAATCACCCAATGTTGTTGGTATCAGGTTTGTTACAAAGTTTTCACATGAAGAAAACATCACAGCATTACAGACGGACAGATGTTATTCAGTGAAGAGGCCCTGTGTCCATTATACAGGCAACGTTTAGTTGCAAGGATTAACCAGAAATGATCATTAAGATGAGCGAATATTGTAATGGTGACTGTGTACTTTAACGATTGATTGGTGTGTTTATGCGTTTGACTTTTGATGCATTTCATCTTTCACTATATTATATTGATGGGAGAGACATTTTGAGCCCAGCATGAATGAAAATTTCAAATTTTGAAAAAGCAAAATGTTTTTGTATCTAGCGTGTTGTGGTGGTTGGGTAATCTGATGTATAAGGCCAAAGTTAAACTGTCTGAACCTGAATTAAGTATTCCAAGTCAAGTCACTCACTGCAACTATAAGCTGATATACTGCCATGTGACTAAATTACTTACATAGAGTGCTTTAAGCATTACTCACATATATAATTCCAGGACATGGTACGGAAATCACTTTGGTGGTGTGGTCACTTTCAACAAGACATATTTCTCGACCATCAATGGTTACCCTAACTTGTTCTTCATGTGGGGAGGTGAAGATGATGACTTGATTCACAGGTAGGACTTTTCACTAGTAATATGTATCTGTATTTACAGTTTTGGGGAAAATCATGCGCCATGAGCAATTCAGGTACATCATTTTTGAAACAGCACATACAACATACAGTTAAGGGACCTGGCCCGCGTTTCACAAAAGCCTCCTAAATTTAGGAGGTCGTAGCCCATACGACCTTGTTTACGACCCTCTTCCCACCTCCTTTACGACCGTTTCACAAAGACGTCATATCCATGTCGTACGACGCGGTCCTAAATCCATGTCGTACATTGTATAAGAGGTACTTTGTTGCATAGCAACGCATAAAGCGAGACCGAACGGGCACATGCTTATCTTGTTATTCCCAAAGTATTTCCAAATAGAAATACAGTTTGAATAACAATGCAAATGTTATGTTTCTAATTCAATGTACAGGGTTATCTTATCGTAAAAAATTTTCAATAAATGAATTATTTTGGATTCTCTCACTAAATTCCATTGAAAATTACAAGATAAAATGTATAAATCATTTCCATTAATATTATCAGTTTTACTTATAAGGTTTGAATTAAATCGCTGTCCATTAACTTGTTCATATGAAACTGCAATATTAGTCCCAATGTATTGAATATTGCACACTATGGGACCTAATGTCAATGTTGCAGTTATGGCTACGCTTGATCTACTAACACTTGTGTAAAGGTTTAAAATATGGTGTGATACTCTAAATGTGTCAATTTCTTTTGTAACTTTTATTCAAACAATCAAAAACTTTCAAAGAATAAAACGTATACCCTATATCCACGTATGATATGATATTGAACAAGGCTAAATGTAGGTACTGAAATTGGTTTCATGAAAAAAAAAATTGAATGATGCGCAAAATATACATCATAGTACTGAAAGTGTAATCAGAAGGGTAGGACGATTGTGTTTCCTTTTTATCATCCGACCTTCACCTCAAAGATATTGCCTAATATGTACAACAATGTTGACGTGTCACATCACAAGCGATGACCGATTTCTAACAAAATGGCGGCTTCGCTGACAAGGGTACACAGGATTTTGCGAGGACTCTTCCCTTGATTCAGGGATCGTTTGTACATATATATGAAATGTAAGTAATCAGAGTGACTCTGACGATCTGTGTATTGTTATATGTTTTTTTTGTAAGTAAGAGAAGAAGCCAGAAATGCTGATAATTACCGTTGTCGTTCTGCGTGATTTTGCGTCTGTTATATGGCGTCACGCTGCACGGAAACTTTGACAAGTTCTTATGAAGTTTCAAATCATTGCATTGTATCTATTTTTAATTTCCTCTTTCTTGCTATGATACTCTTTCAATACATATTCTAAAGGTATTGAGCCATTGCAAGCAATAAACAGTAGCGCAGTCTTCCGAGCACAGAGTTTGTTTTAACACCCAATATCCAGTTGGTATTGGTAACAAAGACAAACTGTGATTTGATTTTGACATGTATGGGGAATTCATTGATGCATTTGTCACAGCTGACTATGAAATATACGTGATGTAATAGGCGTCTCAATACCGGCCTTTTGCGAGACGTGATTTTGTAAACATTATCCAATTAGAGATAAACATCATGTGTTGGCGAATTTCCGGGTGTTATTAAGTATTTGAAGCACGGGAATTCATTTGGAACCGACGGAAATTCGCCAACACATGATGTTTATCGACACTGTAAACACAAAAGTAAAAAAACAAAAGGTCCACACGCGTTTTTTGTGTCTGCTCTCTTTGACATCGAGTACGGGTACAGTAGTGAAATGTCATCAGCCTGCCGTTTCGGCTGTCTCCCATGGTAGCATCTGGAACTGCTCATTTGTGACGTCATTCGGACTTTACGTCACAATATGATTTTAATGACGTCATCCCAGCTGACGACGTAACAATACAATGGTGTGAGCGATGTTTGTATGTATTAATACGCAGAGAATTTCCGGGAATCAAATACCATTTGATCACGTTTTTCAACCAATCAGATTAAAGAAAATCATGCGCCATGAGCAATTCAGGTACATCATTTTTGAAACAGCACATACAACATACAGTTAAGGGACCTGGCCCGCGTTTCACAAAAGCCTCCTAAATTTAGGAGGTCGTAGCCCATACGACCTTGTTTACGACCCTCTTCCCACCTCCTTTACGACCGTTTCACAAAGACGTCATATCCATGTCGTACGACGCGGTCCTAAATCCATGTCGTACATTGTATAAGAGGTACTTTGTTGCATAGCAACGCATAAAGCGAGACCGAACGGGCACATGCTTATCTTGTTATTCCCAAAGTATTTCCAAATAGAAATACAGTTTGAATAACAATGCAAATGTTATGTTTCTAATTCAATGTACAGGGTTATCTTATCGTAAAAAAATTTTCAATAAATGAATTATTTTGGATTCTCTCACTAAATTCCATTGAAAATTACAAGATAAAATGTATAAATCATTTCCATTAATATTATCAGTTTTACTTATAAGGTTTGAATTAAATCGCTGTCCATTAACTTGTTCATATGAAACTGCAATATTAGTCCCAATGTATTGAATATTGCACACTATGGGACCTAATGTCAATGTTGCAGTTATGGCTACGCTTGATCTACTAACACTTGTGTAAAGGTTTAAAATATGGTGTGATACTCTAAATGTGTCAATTTCTTTTGTAACTTTTATTCAAACAATCAAAAACTTTCAAAGAATAAAAACGTATACCCTATATCCACGTATGATATGATATTGAACAAGGCTAAATGTAGGTACTGAAATTGGTTTCATGAAAAAAAAATTGAATGATGCGCAAAATATACATCATAGTACTGAAAGTGTAATCAGAAGGGTAGGACGATTGTGTTTCCTTTTTTATCATCCGACCTTCACCTCAAAGATATTGCCTAATATGTACAACAATGTTGACGTGTCACATCACAAGCGATGACCGATTTCTAACAAAATGGCGGCTTCGCTGACAAGGGTACACAGGATTTTGCGAGGACTCTTCCCTTGATTCAGGGATCGTTTGTACATATATATGAAATGTAAGTAATCAGAGTGACTCTGACGATCTGTGTATTGTTATATGTTTTCTTTGTAAGTAAGAGAAGAAGCCAGAAATGCTGATAATTACCGTTGTCGTTCTGCGTGATTTTGCGTCTGTTATATGGCGTCACGCTGCACGGAAACTTTGACAAGTTCTTATGAAGTTTCAAATCATTGCATTGTATCTATTTTTAATTTCCTCTTTCTTGCTATGATACTCTTTCAATACATATTCTAAAGGTATTGAGCCATTGCAAGCAATAAACAGTAGCGCAGTCTTCCGAGCACAGAGTTTGTTTTAACACCCAATATCCAGTTGGTATTGGTAACAAAGACAAACTGTGATTTGATTTTGACATGTATGGGGAATTCATTGATGCATTTGTCACAGCTGACTATGAAATATACGTGATGTAATAGGCGTCTCAATACCGGCCTTTGCGAGACGTGATTTTGTAAACATTATCCAATTAGGAGATAAACATCATGTGTTGGCGAATTTCCGGGTGTTATTAAGTATTTGAAGCACGGGAATTCATTTGGAACCGACGGAAATTCGCCAACACATGATGTTTATCGACACTGTAAACACAAAAGTAAAAAAACAAAAGGTCCACACGCGTTTTTTGTGTCTGCTCTCTTTGACATCGAGTACGGGTACAGTAGTGAAATGTCATCAGCCTGCCGTTTCGGCTGTCTCCCATGGTAGCATCTGGAACTGCTCATTTGTGACGTCATTCGGACTTTACGTCACAATATGATTTTAATGACGTCATCCCAGCTGACGACGTAACAATACAATGGTGTGAGCGATGTTTGTATGTATTAATACGCAGAGAATTTCCGGGAATCAAATACCATTTGATCACGTTTTTCAACCAATCAGATTAAAGAAAATCATGCGCCATGAGCAATTCAGGTACATCATTTTTGAAACAGCACATACAACATACAGTTAAGGGACCTGGCCCGCGTTTCACAAAAGCCTCCTAAATTTAGGAGGTCGTAGCCCATACGACCTTGTTTACGACCCTCTTCCCACCTCCTTTACGACCGTTTCACAAAGACGTCATATCCATGTCGTACGACGCGGTCCTAAATCCATGTCGTACATTGTATAAGAGGTACTTTGTTGCATAGCAACGCATAAAGCGAGACCGAACGGGCACATGCTTATCTTGTTATTCCCAAAGTATTTCCAAATAGAAATACAGTTTGAATAACAATGCAAATGTTATGTTTCTAATTCAATGTACAGGGTTATCTTATCGTAAAAAATTTTCAATAAATGAATTATTTTGGATTCTCTCACTAAATTCCATTGAAAATTACAAGATAAAATGTATAAATCATTTCCATTAATATTATCAGTTTTACTTATAAGGTTTGAATTAAATCGCTGTCCATTAACTTGTTCATATGAAACTGCAATATTAGTCCCAATGTATTGAATATTGCACACTATGGGACCTAATGTCAATGTTGCAGTTATGGCTACGCTTGATCTACTAACACTTGTGTAAAGGTTTAAAATATGGTGTGATACTCTAAATGTGTCAATTTCTTTTGTAACTTTTATTCAAACAATCAAAAACTTTCAAAGAATAAAAACGTATACCCTATATCCACGTATGATATGATATTGAACAAGGCTAAATGTAGGTACTGAAATTGGTTTCATGAAAAAAAAATTGAATGATGCGCAAAATATACATCATAGTACTGAAAGTGTAATCAGAAGGGTAGGACGATTGTGTTTCCTTTTTTTATCATCCGACCTTCACCTCAAAGATATTGCCTAATATGTACAACAATGTTGACGTGTCACATCACAAGCGATGACCGATTTCTAACAAAATGGCGGCTTCGCTGACAAGGGTACACAGGATTTTGCGAGGACTCTTCCCTTGATTCAGGGATCGTTTGTACATATATATGAAATGTAAGTAATCAGAGTGACTC